AAGAGTTTCAAATATCAGATGTCAAAATTCCAATTGAATGTACATACGTTTGTATGTATGTATGTGTAAAAATATATGTACATATATCACGTTTGTGTACATTACATTAAACACTTTTTATATGGTGCTAAGCAAGAAATATTTAGAAACATAAAATTTCATTTCGTTTTGTACTAAAATACACTCTTTTGCACTCAATGCATAAGAACTTATATGCTAGGTATGTATGTACATATGATATTTTGACCGGTTTTGTCATTTGGCATTCGTCTTTTGTTTATTATTTTTTTTTGTAAGAGTCTAGCTGGTATACAACAAACACTTTATAAATTCGATTTCAAATATTAGAAAAATTCTGCTTATTTTCACCAAAATTTCAAACTTTTTAATCAGAATTTTGGTATGCAGTTTTGTAGACTTCTTAATTCTAGTGTAATGAAGTGCGAGTTTCAAGCTGCTATAAAATCCCGTTAATTTTTGGCAATTTTTTTTTGCTGGCAGTGTTCTCCAAATAAAAGAAAATCGTCCAACATACTTTTGTATGGAAAAAACGTGAAACACCTTCAATAAAAAAAAAAATTATTTTTGTTAGCTGGCTGCAAAGGTTTTTTGATGTTGGCTGTCGCTTCACCTGAACATATGAAAAGTAATTCTAAAGAATCGGCGAAAAAAGGCTGATGCCGATGTTAAATTTTGTGCCGATACTAGCCGATGCCGACGCCGATTAATCGGTCGGACTCTAGCACTTATAGCTGAACAATATTTTTACGAAAACTCGTTCTCAATAAGCTCTCTATATTTAAGACAACTACTTATATAACTGCAGTGAATGATAGTTATAACCGTTAAGAATCTCGAAAATCTTTTGCAGGTCCAAAACGTTGTCACCAAAACAATCAAACCGAAATTTTTTGTACAGAGGACATACTCCAATCAAATGATAGGTTTCTTCAATAGCACTTAAATTGCAAACTGAGCAGTTTACAGAAGCGACATTTTTAAAAGATCTTGCAATAAGAGTTAGCAAGCCACTCCTTGCGCGGAAAATCATCGTTAAAGTAAGTAGAAACCGTAGGTGAAGTTAGTAAACTCTTTTTCAATCAATATCCATATTAACACTTTCATAACCTGACAAAATATTTTTTATTTTCAGTTTTATTTCAACATATACCTTG